TACATATAAGTTATTTTTTGATTATTATATAACGTGATAAATTATATTGCTCAGAAAATTTTTAAACATTTATATAATACAACTAAAAGTTGTGTCACTGATAAAAATAACCAAAATTTCGAATAAATAGCTTTACGTGTGCAAGCTCCATTTGTTTTTTCAATCTTTGTAAGTACAGCACGAAAAAGAAAGGTATGGCGCGAATAATGACGCACTTCCTTTCGCTCCGCATACTTCTATTGTCGACGATAGCAATGCCGGTGCCGTCCCAGTTCATATCTCGCGGATACTTTTCTCGCGATTGATGGAACTCCGAACTCTATACAATATTGCACGTATTATTCGACAACTGAAAGCCAATTGCGCACTATTCTGCACCGCTGACATTTTTCATCCTATTCCCATCGTGTTATACGCAGCGTAAATAAAATCAGATGTCCAAGGAATAATAATGTTTCGAAGCGGAGTTATATAAAGACGAAAAATATTATATATTTTTGTAACAGATATTTCATAATCTGCATCATACCGTATTATTACAATTACCAAGTGGTGCACTCTGTGTGTTAGGAGTAATTATAATCTGTGTATTTATTATGCGCGGAATATGACATTTTTTTGCTAAAATTATACTTTCTTTATTTTGCTGTCTTGTAAATAGTACCGTAAATTTATTACAATTGCTGTATGCATTTTGTATTTCATGAATTTAGGGTCTTAGTTTTATTCGATGCTATTTATCTATCTTCTCATGGTTACATACAGCATACTCATATGAAGCCTTTGTGCGTTTGACATTTATTTGCTTTTCGTCTTGGAATACGCGGTGAGTTTCGCGTTTTCATGCAAGTAAAACCACTTAAAAATTGCATGTTTAAAAACTTTTGCGACATTTTTTTACGCGACTAATAAAAATATAGCAGCGTGTTTATGGAACAGACATAAGTGATTTTTCGAAAAAAAGCTTATTAATATAAAAGCAAGAATTTTTTAAAAACAAGACTTAATAATGTACATATTCTCTTTATCACATACTATAAAATATAAGTGAATTTTTAATCCTTTCGTTTCTGTGATTTTCTAAATTAAAGTGAGATATATTCGTGCGGAATCAATGGTAATTTCGTAACGTGCATGGAAAACCTATTTACTACAAGACGATAAAAAATACACGTTTATATGTATATTGAATTTTTAATAGATACCGAGACAAATTGCTTTAGTTTTACCGATTGCCGTATCTTTTTTTATTTTTTACAGGGTATTCCCAAATCTAATAAAGTTCTCTCTCACTTTTCGAGACTTAGACACCATTGAATACAAGTAGTTTTCATGCGTATACATATGTATGATGGCTATTAAAAGGAAAGAAAATTGCTAGAGTTTCTGTAGAAAAGACTTGCGTATAAATATAGAAGATGTGGAAAAAACAGATAATGCGATGGGTGGGTGGTTTGCTTCGTCGTAGTTATTTCGACTAAATCTAGTGGTCAGTTTCTCTTTGACATGCTAATACTGTCGGAATTTAATCCAAGAAAGAGAAGGAACGAAAATTAATTTCACAGAAAAAATATGGATAACAATAAAATTATCTGCTATTTTTTGAATAATTTTATTTGGAAATTTTTATTAAAACAATATTTATATTATATATATTGAATATATATATCGAATATTTTACAGAAAAATACGTAGCTTTATTACGTATATTATATATTTTTGACAAGCTTTGTATTTATTAGCCCATTAAATTTGTAACAAATATTAGTTTTTTATATATCAAACAAACATTTAGAGATTCTCATAAAAAAAGTTCTGTCGTAAAAGTTTCTGGACATTTTAGTATACATGTAATAAGAGTATATGTAATGAGATACAGAAATGACCCATTTTACTGTATGTTTCGATCAATATTTGAGGGGTCTCACTACCCCTCAGGTTTTAAAATGATACCTTAAGTTTAGGATTTTTTTGTGGATAAATAGATAAACTTTATTTAAAATCTGCTTAGAAAACATTATTGTACACATATAAGAAACAAAAAAAAATATTTTTTTATTTTTCTTATGTCCGAAATGGCGGCGCACTGGCCTATACTTGCGGAATCCCTTTTTTTCTATCGGTGTACACGATTCCAGGCACATGGTTTGGCCTTGAACAAACCATAAAGAATTTTCATTACCTACATATTAAAGTATTGATTTTTCAAAGTATTGATTTTTTTCAAAATGGCAACTATTTTACGAAAGACTTGTATTGACAAAAATACAAATTTTTCGTAAAAATAGCTGCCATTTCGAGATAAATCAATATTTTAAAAAATCTCTACGTATTTCTATAGTCTTTAATATGTAGACAATGAAAATTCTTTGTGTTTTGTTCAAGATCAAACCGCCTGGAATCCTGTACACCGATTTGAAAA